TTACACTTCGATTGCATGACCGTAACTCAATTTTATCTTTGATGGTAAGATATCCACTACAGTGGCATAATCATCTGTTTCAATCGTCCTCACAGATCAAATGTTGTTATAATCTCATAGATCGTGGCGCCAATATTCTTGAAGTTAGGAATCTCTCATTTCTTTTCTTTGGCACTTCCGAAATACGAAGCGAAACAGTGAGAGAGAGAGAGGAAAAGAAATCGTCATTGCATCATTATTTATTTTCGCAGAACGTACCATCATAATCACGACAATAATTGGATCTACATTGATGAAATATGGTCAAATGGGGAAAGATTTTATTCTACTGGGAGACTAATTAAGTTTTAGCAGTGGAAACAAGCTTAAATCACAAAAATTGTTTTGATAATAATATAAATTTTTCATTTTACATTGGGTTAGGGCGCAGAAATTGCTTATATATATTTTGTATTAAGTTAAATAATAAATATATATGGTTTTACATAAGGTGTGCATGTAGTGTTGCATTTGTTGTTGATTTATATTTACATTATTCACTTTTGTTTAATATAAAATAAGAACAAATTACAGAAAAGATGCTACTCTCAATATGTTGGCTGTTAAAAGATGTAAATGACGTAACTTTCAGTGAAATGTTTTTTTTTTATGTTTTCAAATCTATGGTTTCGTCGTAATAATTACTGTGATAATCGTTTATCACGCTTTATAAACTCCAAAGGCAAAGCACGAATACGGATTAAAACGTGACTATTATATTCCTTGAATCAATATGTAAACGCTTTGTCCCCCAACGTAATAGGTAGGCGCGATGGTAGAGCAGTGGTCTCGTTACCGAGAGGTCCCGGGTTCAGAACAAAGTCGATGCGCTAGTGCCCTGTGATATTGCGTTAATCCCCATCACCAAGTCCCTCGGAGAGTCTTGAAAGTCGCCGGTTCCCTGTTGTTTACGTACAATAATACAAATTTCAGCAGTCAGGTAAAACAAACAATAAGCTTGCAATTTATCATATTCATTTGTAGATATTTGCTTGACGTTACAATTTTGAAACAGATACCAGATTTTACTACAGTATAGCTATCCATTTTACATAAACATGTTTTTACTGGAGTGGTTACACGTAGCAAGGAAATGAACATACGAGAGAGATTTCAAAACAGCTGATAACGGTATTACGGAGGTAAAGCGAATTCTGGCAAGAAACCATAGTTATATCTTTGTCTTGAGGGCGAATCGGTTATTAACGTTTATTTCCCTACGGATATTATGATAAGATGATTGTATCTGAGAAGGCGTGTCGTCTCAGCAGAAACGCATTCGATCATCATCACATCAGGGCAGCTTAATGGAAAGCATCTCCTCCAGGTCAGTCCCTACATATGTTAAAGGGACTTGGTAACGTTGTTTAGATGAGAGAAAATGGTGCTAAGGTAGTGAATTCAATGCTAGATGTACAGTTAGAGATAATCTGAAAGTTTAAGTTAAAACAGACCATTCATTATTAATGATACAAATTGGGGAAAACCGATCTGATCGATTCTTTAATTCTCCCGACTTTATCATTACAATTTAATTACATTGTAGGTGATTGTAAAATGTCACAAAGCTATGCATTGGCTATATAAACCACCTCAGACATTTAAGTGTTAAAGATTTTTTTTAATCCTGTCTTTTGTCATATTTTCAGTGGAAAATGGTTGGTAAAATTCAAAAATGGTTGGAAGAATTTATTGTTTAATGTAGGGTGTTGACCAGTGTTGCCTTCAAAGAAAACCACGAATATGTTTGTGGTTTGAGAATTTGTAAAGGATTTTTGTGCATGCTAGAGGGTTAGTACAGTATTAGGAATAGAATAAGTTACCATTTCATACAAAAATTACGCAGTTTTTTCATCAACCTTTAACGACGTTACTGTGTCACTTTAAAGGGAGTTAAGACTAGAAATCAGATAAAAAGGTTCATCCCGCACCCTAAGACCCGTTCACATATGTCGCGGTGAACCGTTCAGATATGACGCGGTGAACAGCCACAATGTAAAAAAATAGCAAAAGGTCCTACGCGTATTCACTTGGCTCTGTGTTAAAGACAGGAAAGGTGAAACGTATAACATCATTACTATTCAACAAACGTGGTTTTTCGCTGCATATCTGATTGAGTCTTCAATGTACACATTTACACCTCTTGGGGTACATTTATCGCACCCCTCTGCTCCGGTGCGTTTAACAGACAATTTACAGAATACAAATTTGAAGGAGACAATTAGATAATAACCCCTTTCTCTATCTCTCTATCCCTCTCTTTCCCTTTCTCTCCATCTCTTCATTTCACTCCATACCCTTTTACCTATTTCTTTGGTACAGTGTTCACCCAATAAGCATTATAATAGTGTGTCTTGTATCCCAGGAATTATGGAGACATCAAAGAACAAATATTCCGGGGCAACATCACTGTTCTTTTGGTTGTTTTGAATTGGTAGACAGCAGGTGCAAATTGTCAAACTTCTTATCATAAATGGAAAACAAAAATTAATTGGTTACGACATCAGAAACTCGATAGAAAATTATCTACCTGGAGGACATATATTGTTTGCCTTCTATTACATGCATTGTTACTTATGAACCAAAGAATATCTCGTTTGCAATCTTGTCGTCTTAACAGTGCAATTCTACCTCGATGATACTTACATCACCGGATGAAATATACACTATAAAACCAAAGAGATACTTAAGACATTGCATATTTACCGATTCTCTTTTTATCTCTTTCTGTCTCTCTGTGTCTCTTCTTTCTTCTTTCCCCCATCAATTCTTCTTCTTCTTACTATTATTATTGTTATTATTCTTTGTTCTTCATCTTTTGTTCTTCATCTTTTCTTCTTTTTATTTTCTTCTCCCTCGTTATGTATATACGTGTGCATGTGTGTTTGTGTGTGATGTGGGTGTGTGTGTGTGTGTCATGTTCTTCCACTCTCCCATTCCCTTTTCACGAAAACTTCTCTCTCTCTCTCTCTCTCTCTCTCTATCTATTTATCTATCTATTTCTCCTTTCTATTATTCTATCCTTCATTATTTATATTTTTTGTTCCATTTTCTCATTGCCCTTTCATCCTCTCTCCTCTCTATCTCTCTCGCTCGCTCACATGAACAACCTAATGCAGTATGAAGAGGCATGGTACTGTATTGTCGAATGTATACTGATGCTTTTGATTTGAATACAATTATCTTATTATATTGATTTCATCTCACTGCACGAGTTAACGCGAATTCGTTTGTAGTATTTCAGCTACCGGCCTACAATCCAGGCCTATGCGCAGAAGATTCCTGCATAAAGTGGCTCCATTATCATTTCGGTTTAATCATCATATCCACCGAATATTCATGAAGGATATACTCATCAATCATCCACAATCTTTATCCTCATCCACATCCCTGGATTCATTTACAAAATTGTCTATTCCAATGAATACCAATCGTTCAGTTTCATAAAACATTAATTAAGAATGGCCTGGCTTCGAGGGGAAGTGAGTTTCATCTCTCAATTAAATATACATCGCTGGACAGAGTCTTACACTGATATTGATGTTTGTTGCTTAGCCTTGCGTTTATTGAGGTTTTCCCAATTTTCTCTATCAACAAGGATTCTTTTGTCACTGTAAGTTTAACAATATTTCAATATATTGAAGAACAATCACTGCCATTACTCCATGAACGTATATATATATATATATATATATATATAAATATACATACATAAGTTAACAACTGAAATATTCATACAAAGTTTTGTAATTCGCTATATACGTGAAAGAAATGTGAAAAATTTAAGCTTAATTACATGGAAAACTAATCAACAAAGGCCATAATTCAACCATTAACCATTCATTATTGAGCTACGAAAAACGCACAAAAACATTCTCAAATTGACATTACAAATATATATATATATATATATATATATATATATATATATATATATTATATATATATAACAAATATATATATATTTGTTCATTATTATCAACCATTATTCTCTCAATTCCATTTCGCAATGTTTCTTTTCCGCGAGAATTGCTAAAGCTGTTTGTACGCGTTAAAATTTCCTCATTAAAGACGATGCCTTCCACCCAACTTCGAGACGTGCATGGCGAACACAATAACATCAATTAAAATGGAATAAGTTCAGAGTCATTGACTTTGTGATGCTATTGTGACACAATAGACGTAGAGATCGGTTGTAAATTTGGAATTGTTTAACAGCTGGGAAGAACAGACGTCGACCGGTATTAAATTACCCCTATTAGCAGAGTCGCGGAATTATTAATGAGAGATGCACGCTTGCTGTATTCTTGGTAATGTCTGGGGTGCCAATAAAGGATGTGAAATATGATCTGTACCTCAATTAAAATCAAATTTGGAATCCACGTATATTCTTGGTAGTTTCAAATCGTTACCTTCGGTTGATTACACCGCGAATTATGAAACTCTTTGTCATCTGCTAAGTGTGATGATGACTTCCATATTAGTTATCTAAAAATAGCCATAATAATCTTTCCAAGCGGAACATGTGAATTTTATTTAAGAATGCAGTTTTATTCTGTATTGCATTTATAAAGCTGCATGTATTCAGTAGGCATTTCTACGATTAACCCAAAGAGAGGAAGAGACAGGATATTAAAGAGAGTATTATGACATACATGTAGTTCCTTGACAATTGCACCCTACGTTTACAACGAATTAAAGCCCAGACCCAATCGCAGCGTGAATTATAATAATGCTTAGATAGTATTCAATTTGACATGATTGAGCGAGAGATATGTCTCTGCACGCCCCCCCCCCCCCCCCCCCAGCTGCACCCACCAGCGGAAGTGCGCATGGAAGACAAAATCTAAGCAACATATGCTACACGTGGATAATAGGAATACTGAGCATTTCGTCGTAAAAGGAAAATATGCACTTTTCATTTCAAAACATACAAAAATATACAGTTATCAAAATGTCGATACTTTGGTATAAAAATTATGATAGATTTATTTGTCTTGATATAGGAGTTGAATAGTCGAGCATTTAGCAACACAGTACAAAACGTATACCTACAAAAGTTTCATTGTATCGATTGTACAATGAACATTGTCTCAGACGTAATTATATTTAAAATATATAATATCTGTTTCACGTATATCTCGTGCGTGCTTTTTTGTAATACATGGCATATATTAGAAAATGATAGAGCAGAAACAAAGGCACCATGAAACACGATTTAGACAGTCCTCAAGAATTGATATGACACTGTAGTTCATAGAATGTTATTATTATTATATTAACATTCAAACATGATTATTCCGTATATATAGTCCCATACCATGTACCTTAACGCGCGACCATCATACATTGAGTGCGTTTTCATACTTGTACAAGGCATTGGTCATATTGATTGGGGTTAGACTCCAGGTCATACATTGCTAACACATCAACATTGGAAGACAAATATCATAAGGTGGGAAGCTTTAACCTTAGAATAGAATGTAGGTTACACAATTATATTCGATAGTGTACCGCATATGTATTCATCTTACGTTAAAAATATTCTTTTGAAAACTCCTATATATCAGAAGACTCCATGATACCATTGCAATAATGATATCCGAAGCACTTGTATGTTAAAATGACACTAAACTACACAAATAGTTGACAACTCCTTTGTTGAATTGCGCTAGACTGTGAATAATTCCTCTTGCATGGCTGGGTGGGATCTGGTTAAATATAACGATAGAGGAAGCTACAGCATATTATGTTCCACCAGACCCATCTGTACAAAGAGTTTGGCCATCTTGGTTCAGTTGGGTACGGCAAGGTGTATATTCTTTTGTCGGTACTTGCCTAACATAACGGTATTCGCCATTGTGTGCCCAACTCGAACCGTGTTGGCCAAACTCTCCTAATCAACGGCTCTGTATTCTACCGTAGCCAGGTGGGTCTTTCCCCATATAAATTGTATATATCACGTTTAATATATAGTAACTAAGAAGTCATTTAACAACACAAAAAATAAAAGAAATGTGTTATACTATATAAATTACGTTACAGTATAATCAGTCAAAAATATCATATGCTTCCATAAACCTAAGCGTAGCTGAATTAATCACATTGAAAATACAAAATAATAAAAACAATTAGAATCGATCGATTGTGGTTTATTGGCCTTTGTAAGTTCCAAACCCATCGACCTGGAGAAAGCGACAACTTGTCACAATTCAAAGTATAAAAAGACATCCTTCTTAATCAGCCAAAACGGATAACAGAAATGTTTTGATAATTGTAACCATCCATCATTTAGTGCTGACAAAAGTTGATACAGATGCAGAAACCATTGTATTCTTATTACATAAATAGATTAATGAAATAAAATTATATCGGATTTTATGTACCCCGTTTACAAACACCAGGAAACTTAAACGCAAGTTTTTATATCATAAAAAGAGTTTAAATGTCATATTGAAAAAAATCGCACGATATGAACAAATAACTATATCGATAATAATAATGAATTGAAGAGACATTGTCAATTTGACCCTGTTTCAATATTTCTTATAACAAGTTTCTTTTAATGAAAAGAATATGTAGAAAAACATATCCGATATCGTATTGCACTCTATGAAAGTCACGATCCTTCTTGCAGAATATTATTCAAAGCTATATTATTTTGCTTATTAGGTTTTCACAGCTTTCACCATCTTCAATTATTTCTTTCTCGCATCTGCAATCAACATGAGGAACGTATTATATTTACATAAAAGGATATATGTTATTTCACTTTTAGATATTAGTTAGATTTTTTTTAAAAAAAATAAATAAAAAACGAAAGACAACGGGTTTCGATTATTGATAGCAATAAGGAACAATGAGATCCCCACATGATTCGTTCCGGTCTTAGCAGGAGAAAAGAAAACAGATTGAGCGAACGTGATTATAAACAGCATAGTTATATTGATAGTCTAAAGCATCAACCAATCCTCACCATCAACCGACCCCCCCCCCCCCCCCTTCCCCCTGAAGCAGGGAGATAACCGACAGCAATTTGTTTCCTTCCAGTAAGCTAGTACCTTGCGTTAGAAGGTTTAGACATCTTCAACTTTTAGCTGGAAGTTTTGCTCCTCATATACATAGTTATACATGTTTTTTGCTTCTTCAATCCCATGCAAATGCGTCATAACTGGCAACTGGAAATGGCATCATTCACGGGTGTTGCTTTCCCGCCTCCTGTCGCTCACAATTTTTGAAGATAGAGGGCCGAGATGGCCGGTAGAAGGATCTCCACACGATGATCTAGCTATAACAGTGTCCTTGGAGAGGGAACTGTCTGTGTTTTGAGCATCTCTTACACGATAGTATGCGTCTTCTTGTTCGTGCTTCAGAACGGACAGGACTAAGACATAAGTTAGTGATTACATAATCGTATCTCTCAATAACGCTACGTGAATTAATCTCTTAATTACCAATAATGATAATGATGAAATTAATAATAATATTGTTGGAAGATCCCCCAAGCAAAGTGGTCTCAAATCGCTCCTATAATATTACACCGGCTTTAGCTAGGCTACCAATTCCACAGCCTTCTTGGAAATCCTTCAATAGGTTACCATTTAAGGCCTGGGTTGAGAGTGGCAAATATAGATTAAGGGCTTGTCAAATGATACCGGGTCTCGAACCCACGACCATTGCTTCTCCAGTCAAGTGTGTAAATCTCTCAACCATTTTGTTATAATTTCATGTTGTCCATGAAGAATGTTCATGGTTAATACATGATAAGCGTATGAAAATAAACGATTTGGACGACTTTACTACTTCAGTTCATGATTCCAGCTTTGCTCAGTTTTATAAATAAGTTTCTGAGTAGTCGGGCAATCCATCGGTTTCCTTACTGAGGGCGTATTTGGGCGCTTCTGAATAAGGTGGCGGAGGGCAGGAATAGTCGAGGGCGCTATTTACTTGTCCGTCTCTCCCCTGTCCTTGCTCCAGTGCAGTTGGCCCTCCAGGTTGGCCGATGAATGACTTTCGTTTGCAGCAGAAAATACAGCAGAGGCAGGTCAAGATGACTGACGTTGCCAGTCCGAGAGCGATCCAGAAGCTGAGCTCTGGAAGATCAGAAAGAAAGCAGAATATAGGAATCACTTATTAAAAGTGCGGGTTATTATACTACGAAGAGAAAACGATCAGGACAAAACTATTATAATCGCTATACTTAGGTGTAAAACTCAAAGCACAGCGGGAGAGCAGTGGTCTCGTAACCAGGAATTCCTGGGTTCGAAACCAATTGGAAATAGTAATTCCCTTTGGTAAGGCATTTATCCATATCATCAAGTTTCTTGTGGAGACTTACAGCCATGCGTCCCCTAGCCGCATACTTAAAAACAGACACAATCACGTTAGTATAAGCACTGGACGTAACAATTTCCTTCAATTTTGTTTTCACAAAGAATAGTCTGCTAATGATTTCATTCATACAATCCTCGGATTTTAATTATATTTGAAATTACTACCATAACTCCATATTGTGACAGCTGTAAGATTAACAATAGAATCATTATAATATGATGTTCCGATTCACTGCATTGCAAAAGGTGGCACAGTTATTAGGTGTATACCAGTTTTGGAAACGCCCCCCCCCCCCTCCCCCTCTCAAAGAAATTAAATGGAAGCTCTTATTACTAATCATGTGAAAGAATATATTTTGACTAATACGTGATGGTCCAAATTTTGCCGGGAAACCACCTATTAATTGATATATTTAGTAATTTATCATATCTATCCGGCCTGGATAGATATCGCGTAGTCCCATATGCAGCTTTCTGTGTACAATGCTTGTAACTTTACCAAGACTGGGCCTAATTTCTTAACATTTTGGTGATCCCAGAACCTTGCAGTACACACCAGTACTTATATGCTAGATGATCAAACTTTTCTGATCGATTCCACAACGTTTCTTTCACAATGCAATCGCATGACCAGAACTGATCTATACCTTTAATGCACATTTGAAATGATGTTTATCCAAGTGTGCCGAACTGTACATGTATCTCTTTGCCGTTCTTTTTTCCTTCTTCCAACTAAACCCATCAAAACAAATATGGAACCTATTAAGTGAGATGGATTATAGCTCTCTTTTCATGGCATAATCATTGCTTTGATTATTATCATTAGAAAGTGTGTTTATTCCTCTTTAAAAATACCATATTCGTTATGATTCTGCAGCCATAACGTGAGCAGTACATCATAATATATATCAGCATTACAAATCAATCATAGCTTACCAACAGAATGAAACGAGTAGGACGACGACTGCTGCTCATCTGTAAGAAGAAACAAATTCGTGTTAAGGTTGGATCCAAGTCACTTCTTCACCACATCAATTAATACCCAAGTCGAGAACATGCCCTGAAGATATTCAAGAATGGGTCTCGTTTACACACAAGGAAATGCTTTTTCAGTAATAGAGTAGTTGGATCCAAGTCACTTCTTCACAATATCAAGCAACACCTACACTCGGGGACATTCTCTTAAAATATTGAAGAAAAAGTCTCGCGTTTAGACAGTGGGACATGCTTTTTTCAAGCTTCAAAGTGGTGTTCGACTGGAAAGGTCTTCCCCAAGAATTAATAGACTCAAACTTCATCGATACTTTCAAAGCAAGATAGAGTATTAACGTTGGTAGTCTGAGCTTTTAAATCTATTACGATCAAAACCGTCTCTACCTATGTGCAAAATAAAGACACTGATTTCCCATCGATTTGAGATTCCAGAACCCTGAAGATAAAAAAGGATCTACTTCTACTTGCTTTACTTTGATGATGGTGATGATGATGATGATGATGATGATGATGATGATGATAATGTCATCAGGTGCACAGTCACGATGATGGACGGGAAAGTTTAGAGGTCCTCTCTTTTGTTGGAAATTAAACCTTGTAAAAAACCACCCATTTGGCGTATTGATGGTATTTATTATGGTCTGTTATGTTGTTATGTTGATGGTAGCATGGATATGGTTCATTTTGCCATTGGAGACCAATTTTCCTTGTGTGGGAGTTTTTGTTTTTACTACAAAATGATAAATTAGAATCTAAATCTAAATCTGAATCTGAATCGGGTTACTGTTCGTAGCAAATCTCATGGTTTAATGAATTTCTTGCTAATTTGGTCGACCCAAATACCGAAATAGACTAGAATATTGCTTTGTTCTTCTGTTGTGGTAAACGTTAACATAAATGAATACGGTATGGAAAAAGAAGAGTTTATCTCAGGTAATTGTTATGTTGGATAGAGGATCAAAACAGATCGCTACATGAAGGTTAAGATTCATCCAATACCGTAGAAATCAATAGTGAATAATGAATTAATTACCGGAGGTAGGTCTCCTTATTACTCCACAACGTTTGACAAGTTCAGATATTAAACTGATCTTAAAAGAAAAATTATGGTACGGCCAGGCTTGCTTTTAGATCTACATGCACATGTAGTTGTTTTTTTGTCACGAAAAGTCACTGGCTAGCATAGCACAATATGCACACAAAAGGGTTAGTCATGCGATTACATTTTGCGAGATATTGTCTGGCTGTAAGTGGATTCTGTATTATGTAAAAAATAACTGTGCATTGTGAGATTTTGGAACCATCCTATTGAGTAAATCTTGCTGAAAATTTTAATTCAGTGAAAAATGTTGTACGCGTATTAAAGTACATGGGACTGGAAACACATTTCATCAAAACGTCGCTGTTTTCACGGAGTGACGGTAGTGAACAAAAATTGCATTCACTTTGCGTGACGATTTTCCTCACTACCGTCACTTCGTGAAAACCAGGACGAAAATTTGTCTGAATTCTTGAATAATTATCTATCATATGTGATATATACGTGGGTATTGTGGAAGGACAATTAAATTGTTCATGTTTAATTGAATACTATGATATTGTTCCACACAGGAGTTTGGTTAATTAGGTTGATTATGTAGTGTAAAGAAAATGACTGTGCTTTATGAGGTTTTGAAATCATATTGAGCAAATCTTGCTTGAAATTCCCATTCATAGAAATATCCTCATGCGTATGTCAGCACAAGGGACTGTAAAATACGTTTCATCAAACTTTGTGTGAATCATCATCATCTTCATTGTCATCATCATCATCATTATGTATTAATAGCAGTATAACGAGAAGGAGAAGAAGTACTAGTAGTAGAAGTAGTAGTATTCATTGTGGTGCTAGTAGTATTAATAGTAGTGGTGGGAGTAGTAGAAGTAGAAGTAGTAGTAGTAGTAGTAGTAGTAGTAGTAGTAGTAGATTAGAAGTAGTAGTAGTAGTAGTAGTAATAGTAGTAGTAGTAGTAGTAGTAGTAGTAGTAGTAGTAGTAGTAGATTAGTAGTAGTAGTAGTAGTAGTAGTAGTAGATTAGTAGTAGTAGTAGTAGTAGTAGTAGTAGTAGTAGTAGATTAGTAGTAGTAGTAGTAGTAGTAGTAGTGGTAGTAGTAGTAGTAGTAGTAGTAGTAGTTGTAGTAGTAGTAGTAGTAGTAGTAGTAGCAGCAGCAGTAGTAGTAGCAGCAGCAGTAGGTGTAGTAGTAGTAGTAGTAGATTAGTAGTAGTAGTAGTAGTAGTAGAAGTAGTAGATTAGTAGTAGTAGTAGTAGTAGTAGTAGTAGTAGTAGTAGTAGTAGTTGTAGTAGTAGTAGTAGTAGTAGTAGTAGTAGTAGTAGTAGTAGTGGTAGTAGTAGTAGTAGTAGTAGTAGTAGTAGTAGTAGTTGATTAGTAGTAGTAGTAGTAGTAGTAGTAGTAGTAGTATTAGTAGTAGTAGTAGCTTCTCGTTGTTATCAATATTTCAAGTATATCTTTTTCACTTACCCTCATTATCTTGGGCTGTAGTGACTCTCCTACTGATGTACATGAACACAACCGCAAGAATTAATATTATCTTCTCAGATTCCATACTGAATCTATACTGCCACGTGATCACCGTCGCCTAATAGTATCAAAGTGTCATCAAAATTTATTTCCTCCTTCTTCCGCCGGTCTTCGGCTATAACATGTAATGCTTTGAAAATGAATAAAAGAAAAGATGATATTACTTAAAACTCAAAATATTTGATAATTGGATTGTCATAGTATTCGTCTTTTTGGACCCACACGGGCGTTGGGTTGAAATATAGGAGTTTTAACTATACAAGATATGGTTATGAAGCTAAATCCTGTTTATGCATCGGTTGCATTTTCATAATGGCTGCCTATTCGAACGTATTGTTAAGAAGTGCATCGTACCATAGGCAGCAAACACTGAAAGGGGTCGAGTTAATCAGGTTTTCTTTATTTAATATCATTTAATTTCTGTTATCCCCCCCCCCCCTCTCTCTCTCTCTCTCTCTCCTATATACGTGTACATAAAACGTTGTATAAATAAAATTAAGTTGTGTAATCATGAAAGTCAAGTGGCTTTAAATAGCAAATGGTGTGTTGAGAGTTATTCCCTTTGAAATAAAACTATTTTAAAAGTCTATTCACCATTCTAAAATTATCTTCAATAGGATGGAGAAAAAGGAAGACAGACTAGTATCCTCCCTCAATGTCTTCAAAAGGAGAATAAAATTAGTAATATTAAATACTTATAATTCTTAATTTACTTATTCTATGATCATGCTTTTTTCCCCACTTTTGTTTTTTATCATTTTGTTATGCTTCTCTGTAATCTTTTTGTTTATGTATACATTTATCATGCTTGTTTGTTAGTTTATTTTTCGGTGGCAGCACGAATCGGTTTTTTGCCTTTTTAAGCTGTCTCCTCATTTATGCATTTTAATTTCGTGATCCGTTTGATAGACTTTGTTAATGTGTTTTTTTTTATTGATGAATTAAATAAATGTCAGCTTTAAACAACTGGTAGAAGAAAGGGGAGAGAAAATATACTTTAGTAACAGGAATTTACAAGTATTCTTCCCAGCATAATTCGACTGTATGTCTATACGCCTAAGGCCATTATGATAATGAAAGTATATGATGTGTGATTAATTGGTCAATTGTAAACATACCAATGCCGTATGTTATTACCTAAATAAATATTCCTATAATGCAATGGCGGATGCGGAAGGGAACATAATAAACACCCCTTCCCCCTGAAAAGCAAATTCATCATACCTTTATAATTATACATAATGTAGAAAAATATTTTAAAAACGTGCCCCTCCCCCTCCACCTTTCTGCTGCAAATATACATTCCTTTTTTGGAAGTGGTGTTTTCTTGTCAGAGAATTTTTGGGTTTATGCTACTAGGCTACTCCCTCCCTGGTGCAGAAAATCTATACAAAATCTATTTTGTACCTTATGACATTATTCCTTCCTTTTTCTCTTTTTGGAGGGGGTATTTGTGGACATATATTTTTTTTTCGACTTATGCCACTCCCCCCCCCCCCTCCTTCCGGCCACAAAATACGGGATCCGCCTCTGTTTTCTCATTGGAATATTATTTTCAAATGACATGATAAGCCACCAGATGTAAGCCTTATGGTACGTGCATATTTTCATTTCCTCATGTTGCTTTGGACGCATAATGTACAAATACACTCGAAAAAAAAAAATTATTAAACAGAATCCATTTCTGCTTACGGTTTTTGTTGATTTAGGTCAAACAATGCGTTTAGGTATTGCAAAAGTAGTGCTTTTGGAGGTAAGGGGCAAGTTCAGGATTATATAAAAGGGGAAGCACAAAGCTAAAAAGATCATCTACCAAGAAAAGGAAACAAAAGGTTATCAGATATATCAAGTGCCATTCTGGTTTTTTATGTACAAAGAGTATGGTTATTACCTGGCATCCATTTAACTCTCTTTATATCTTATGACTGTTTTGCATTCGCTGCTCTCTTGCTTTGTCCTTGCCGAATAATTATAATTAACATAATGTTAATAATAATAATGATAAATCGTAATAATAATTATTAGTATATTTATTAAAATACTTCCCAGCTTATATGCACAAAGGAAGAGTGACACGGGCCATTTTTCCCGGCCAAACCTCTTAAAGAAGAAAAACAAGAACAAGAATAAGAATATTCTTCTACTTCTCCTTCTTCTCGCTAGGGCCGGCACAACTAAGATTTCCAATCTTTAACGCCGGTCCTCCCTCGACCTGTTCTCTATCTTGTACCTTTTCTACTCTGTATTTATATACTAAATATTTATATATTGTTATACCTTGTTTTGTATTGTATCGTTTGGTTTGGTTTGATTTCACTGAATACTTAAATTATGTATACGGTATATAATTATTATAACACATTTAAAAACAAGAACAAGAGCTAATACAGATAAAGCACAGGAACAAGAACACGAAGATTTGGACATCATTGTTTACTTTTTTTCAAGGCCTAGATTTGTTGTTTGGTAACGAAGCTATTACTGAAAATCCCCTATATCCATTTAGTCTTACCTTTTTCAGGTACTAAACAGCTCTCATTCCTCTCTCGATCTGGACATCATTCGAATCCCGATGTCAATTATGTCGGATATACCTATCGTAGATGTCAGGTAACACAGATGTCCATGGCGGCCTTATTAACTCATCAAGTAATGTGGTCTAGTACTGAAAACTGACGTCACTATTGAGCATATGTCATAACTATCGCACGCATTCAACGATATTCAATTGAGTTGTGTTTGTTTTGGCGCTCTATGGGTTGTTTCCCTGTGCAGTTTGGTATATTCCCGTTTTCTGTGAATGGTGTATGGTACAGACGGGACCACTTGAAGCCCTCGAAATAAATCAGTGACTTTGCACGATTTCTTTTGTTGTTCGATTGTATTTTGGGATCCTTGTACGGATAAGGTCTGGTGGTTTCCTTGAATTAGAATTTACCTCGCGATTACAAACTGGGTAGTTTTTATGAAAAGGTGAAATTTGGTGAAACTCCAGCGTAGTGGAGTGCGTCATTTGCTATAATTGCGATCAATAACATTTCCCGCATTGACTGGACTCCGAGCTCCAGTTATATCATACGATAATACCATAGTTCGTTTATCAGGGATTATTAGATTTGTTTGCTTAAAGGTAAAGACCAGTATTGGAAACGCCCCAATTTCAAAAAATGAAATGGAAGCTCTCATTACCGATCATGTGAAAGAATATGTTTTGACCGTACATGATGATAAAAAATTTGCCGGGAAACCGCCTACTAATTCATATATTTGGTAAATTTGTTTCTCTCATGGTCTGTGAGAGATATAGGGTAGTCCCATATACATCTTTCTGTGTATAGTGCTTGTAACTTTACGAAGAATGGGCCAAATTTCTTATCATTTTGATGATTCCAGAACCTTGCAGATGCTAGATGCTAGATGCTAGATGATCAACCTTTTCTGATCGATTCCACAACGTTTCTTTCACATGCAATCGCATGACCATAACTGGTCTTTACCTTTAAGAAAAGGTCAAAAGTATGGATCGATGTGGAGTGGTATCTGATTTACTTACCCTTTTTCTGTCTTGGTTATTGCTAATTTATACATTGAACATCAAAACGTTTCTAAATATGCCATTAGATACATCGATGTGATGCATATATCCAATATTTTATAAAAGAATAACTGATGGCGTATCAACAAATAAATGATCGACTTCAGAATTGTATTGTCGATTGTGTCGCGTTACGGAGGGTAGGTATAATTGCCTACGTCATTCGTAGGAATGCGGAAATTCATTTTTTACGTAATGTCTAAAAATACAAAACTAAATTATGATATGCTTTCCTCTTTTATGCGTTATGTATTATTCAATGCTCTGATTCGCCTTAATCATCGGCCATTCACTTGGTCTTTATAAACCCCATTTTCTATTTATCCCCTGTCCCGATCCCTGCCTTCTCTCTTCCTCTGTACAGTCCCCTCCTTTGTTTGCCTGTATCTATACACTTCTCTCGATCTCAATCTCTCTTTCTCGTTCTTTTTCTCTCCCTTTTTCTTGCTCTCTCTCTCTCTCTCTCTCTCTCTCTTTCATTTC